CTCCAGCGAAGCGAGGGAAACAGCTACAGCATCCCAGTCAACGTTATCGATGCGACTTGCCCACGCTGGTCCCATGTCTAAAGTGAAGCAGACGTTTATGAATCGTGGATGTTTACTGGCTTCCGGCGTCGGTAGTGTCGAGGCCAGATGGTGTAGGGCTGGTCCGAGCGGTTCGTCGAGAAAGAGGTGAACTCCGTTTAAATACAGGGATGAAAGTTGGGTGCATGATGACAAAGAGAGAGGGTAATCGCATTCTGTAAAGGTGACGGAGTCAGAATGTTGAATGACTGCTACCATTTCAACCCATAACACCTACCCGTGTGGGATACGCCCGAGATACTCAATTCTGAGAGAGACGGAGCACAAGCTTCTATCATTTCACCGAGTGGAAGCAGGTGTTCGTCTTCCCAGGATATTTCGAGGCGTGAAAGGCACAACTTCGACGGCATCCTCGCAAAACACCTTGTAATTGTCGAAGAGCATCCACGCAACGAGAGATGCTTCAGCGTCGGTAGATCGACGCCCACGTCGTCCACCAGATGTAGTCCCGCGATCGCGATAGAACAACAGTCACCGGGTTGCATGGTATGTTTATGGGTTTCATCCTCGGACTCGGATTCTGAACCAGATCCCGCTTCGTCATCGTCGAGAAGTTCCCCGTTTCCCCACTCTACATCATGTATGACCAATGAATTAAGGTTCTTGAACGGGATGATCAATGCGAACAATTCTTCCGCCTCCCGGAATCGTAACCCCTCCAACACAAGCTCGTCAACAGACGAGCTGTAGGCGTTGAGGAAAGGCGTAAGGGGCTCGTGTGGATCACGGAAATCGATACCCCGCAGTCCGAGGTGGTGTAGGCTTTCGAGCTTTGGCCAAGTCAAAAGCGAAGGGAACGACTCCACTCCGGAAACGTGGAGGCCGTGTACGATGCCAGGCCCTTCCGGATTCTCCGAGAGTATTCCTAACCATCTACTCGCATCTTCCGCGGATCGAAGGGTTATTTGTGATCGAGAAGCCCCAACTTGATTCCTGAGAACTCCAGTCATGTTCTGCAGGATGGACGGCATTGAGATATAACTGTTGTCCGGCATAGAACCGGCTCTTTACCTTACAGGGTATGCGAATATCTCGGGTAGGAGGGGATCACGGACGAGCAACCGTAGTCTCAGTACCAACAGGCAGATAAGCCGCAGGTTTGGGCGTTCAACATTTTGAAGTCGTTGTTGCGCCCATAGATACTGATGGTGGCGACGGTCGGTGTCTGGGAACCGGGGGCGGATCAAGCATAAGCGCCCGGAAATTATCGACAACACCGAAGTTATCGGGGTCACCAACACCGTTGGCAACACGACTCTAAGCCTCCCCAAGTCCGGGCAGCTCCCAACCCCGTCTACTCATTCCTTGATAATGGGCTGGCCAACTCCAAGATTCGATTCCATGTAAAAGGGTTTAGATTCCGCCACCATCCATCAATCATGGCGTTTGATCCGTGTAATACAAAATGAGACCTGAAGCGAACTATAAACAACTCATCGCCAGGGAGTTCAATCATCAGAGAGTAACTGCGCGGCTTTGCGCGCATTGGCACGGACAGCTTCCAACTGAAGCTCCAAGTTCCTAATCTGAGCGCGAGCCTCTCTGAGCTCAGTGTTCAGCTTACTGTTTTCGTCGCGGAGAGTGGCAGCCTCCTGTGATGGGAACCAGTAAATCCAAATAGTGCGGCGCGAAGTGATCAATACAGACCTCGGTGGTATTCGGAGTTGGTAGGGGGATGATGGGAGGGGGAGGGAACGTTGGTTCTCGTTTGGAAAAAACGGGCTCAGGAGCCGGGGCTGGAGCAGCAGAGATTGGAGTTGCCAAGCTCGCCGACCTGGAGACGACAGGGGACTCCACGGGAACAGGGGTTCTGGAGGGGGCGGTAGTGGAGGTCGACACTGCACCATTCTCAAGACTGACCAACTTCAGAGTTGGTTGTTCACCGGAGAAGAACTCGCCAGCGGTCAAAGAAGGTTCGGAAGATGGGGCTGGAGGGTAGATATCGGATTGGAAGGAGTCGGACTATACGCTTCAAGTGAAACGGTTGTATTTCATTAGTGAGGTGAGACCTACCTTTCGTGGAACGATGAACGCGATCGGTTCAACAGCAGATGCCGTCACCTTGTAGGCTCGGGCAATCTCACACTCGGCCACCTCCAATGCACGACGAGGAAGGAAGCACATTCCACGCTGAGGATCTGAAGACTTGTATTCGGAAAGGGCGAAAAGGGAGTCGGATTCGTACTCGTAGTACCGGATGTTTCCGTCTCTGTTTACGGTCTCAGTGATGGGGCAACATGGCAGAGGACGAAAATAGGAGTACCCTTTACCAGCAAGGAACAGAATTCCGTTATCACTCCAGAAGGGCATTACAACTCCAGAGGTTTGGTCGAGGGAAATCATTTTGGTGCTGTTGAGGCTACCCGCATCCCAAATTCCAACCTGTCGGTCGCTCATCTTGCTGAAACCCGTGGTAGCGAAGGAGTCCTTCTCGCCCATCCAAACGGCACGAACGCCCTTGATGCCGCCATGACCTTCAGTAATACGTACGGGGTCTCCGCCAGCACGAGGATCAAACAACCGAATTTTCCTGTCTCTGCAGGTTGTGACCAGGATGTTACCAACGGCATTAAACGCGAGGCTCTGGATTGCGTCGCCATGGCCACCGAGAACGGACTTCGGTGATTCCGGGCTACCCAGGTCCCAAAGTTTCACGACGTGATCTCCAGAAGCGGCGGCCAGAACATATTCAGCGGTTGGGTGGAAAAGAACTTGACCGATCCTGCGGGCGGAACCATCGATACGAGAAACAGGATCAAAATCCTGTGGTACCCAGTGCTCTTGACCCCAACCATCGAAGGCGGAGGCTTCGACTTTCCAGATCATGACTTTTCCATCTTCACCACCCGATGCGACAACGGAGTCGTTAAAGGGTGACCACGTAGTGTCCAGGACGGTACCAGTATGGCTTCTGGCCAATGGAACGATATCTGGAAGCTTCGATGGGAAATTCCCTGAGATTGGGCGGAATGGACTTGGAAGAGGTAAGATCGCGAACGCTCCACCGCCCGAGGCATTCCAGTTCAGACTGATATAACTCTAAGAGATAGTACGTGAGGAACGCGCAGTGTGCGACCAGCGATGATAAAACGTACCGCCGACGCAGCGACCAAATTGGTATCCCAAGCGCTGCCCGAGACTTTAACGTTGTCTAAAGTGTGTTCCTTCTTGGCGGATTGGCCAAATACATGGCTGCAGACGCAGATCAGTTGCCCGCCTGCAGTGGAAATGTAAAATACACTTGCCGATATTTAGAAGCTCGCACAAAACGAGACATTTGCACTTATGGATCGCGTCAGCCATGGAAATGTCGAGTTTTACAACCGAAACTTGGGGGACAGACCTGGGTGAGTAGATGGTGATTGACGTTACAAGCGTAAACAAGATTTGGACGTGGCGGTGATCGTTCATCGGTCAAAGACACACGCATCTTACTTCCGACCTCCACCTGCCAGCGATGGCCCCTCAGGATAAGAAGACTACAGAGGCAAACGCACGGGCTCTCCGCGAGCTGCTTAAACAACCAGATAACAAAGTCTGTGCTGATTGCAAACGGAACGGTGCGTTTCGTCCCGCTCCGAATCATTCCTCCTCACATGGATTGTCAGATCCACGTTGGGCCTCGTGGAATATGTGAGCTCTACCGTTAATAGGTGTCAATCCCAGCTTAATGCATCTCCCCAGCGGCGTGTTTTTGTGCATTCGATGCTCTGGTGTTCACCGGTCCATGGGGACACACATCAGCAAGGTTAAATCTGTCGACCTTGACACGTGGACACCTATTCAGCTTGAGGTCGGGTTCATGTGATCTCGTTATAAGACTTTACTGAACCTCGGGAATCCAGACTATTCAAAAGTGGGGGAATCGCCTCGCCAACAAACATTGGGAGGCGCACTTAAAGGCCGGTCATATTCCGCCCGATCAGTGAGTTGACGTTGCACATGCTTGACCTATTTCTTATGTTTTCATTTTGCAGTAAGATGGAATCATTCATTCGTTCGAAGTACGAGACAAAGAGGTGGGCGATGGAGGGGGACCCTCCTGAGGATCCCTCCGTTTTGGACACCGACGGGACGCCAGTCACACAGCCCGCCACTCAAGTACAACAGAAGGTCGCTACCCAGCCAACCCCCGCCACTCAGCCTCAACGACCTGTGCCTTCTCGTCATCAACTTTTATCTACGTCCCATCTTCAGCAACAACCCGCTCAGCCAAGGCTTCAACCTCCAGCTCCGACTTCTGCTCCTGCCCCTGCTCCTGCACCGGCCCCCGCTCCCCCACAGGATGATCTCTTCAGCCTAGACTTTCATGCTCCCCCCCAATCTGTGCAACAGCAGACCCAGGCCATTCAACCAAAGAATGCCAAACAGGATATCTTATCATTGTTCTCTACACCGGCGCCAAATCCTGCCCCGGCGATTCCTGTCCAGCAGAACCAATGGGGTCAACCTCAGCAACCGATACAACAACAGCAGTCGATTCAGGGAATGATGGGTCAGACTGGAACCGGCATGTGGGGTGTCTCGTCTGGTTGGAATCCTCCCGCACCCCAACCTCAGGGCAATGTCTGGGGAAATTTCACGTCCGCAATGCCGCAACAGCAGCAGCAACAGGGAAACTCTGGCCTCGGGACGCAACCAGTTTCCAACGGTGAATTTGGAGGATTCCAGCAATCGGCAGCCTTTTCGACGACCGACATCTGGGCGAACAGCAACACTGTGGCAGCAAGTACTAATAATCAGCAAAAGGATGCTTTCGATGGCATATGGGGTGGTTCCAAATAGAGTACTATGCGTTGTATATCCACAGATTCGGTGTTGTCAGTCCTTGGGAGAAAGCTGTTGTCAGGGCCATTAAGCCCCCTGCGGGACCTGTAACAAATCAGATGAACATGGGCTATGGTCGATTAGCTCAGTTGGTTAGAGCGTGGTGCTAATACGAGTTGTGCCTCCTGGTAGCTCGGTTACGCCAAGGTCGCGAGTTCGAGACTCGTATTGACCAACTTTTTACCACATTGCCTCTCGGGACTTGCCGATGCCAGGCTTCAGAATCTCTCTGGACTCCGAGCGGGATACCTCGCATTCTGACCGTCCGAATTATCGACCTGGTGTCCCTGCGTACCATGGTATTGATATGGAAACTGAATTGGCAGGGCTGTTTATACGTGGATCGGGCGTGCGGTAGCGCACGTCAAGTAGGTGTCAAGGACGCGGAGACGTACGTACCTCATGATGCATCGGTATCGGTTTCGCGTCCGATTCCGTTCACCTAACAGTCCTCGGTAAATTGTCAGCGCCGCACAACTGCCTGATGTAGGCTGACCAGAATTATGCCCCTCCTTCACTTTCCTGTTCAACGGCTCCGACTAACTGAACAAGCGGCCGAATCTACGTATTATACGGTCGATATCCTTTTGAGGGGAGGCGTCCAGCTTTACGTTTGCAGGTGTAACCTTGTCCAAAGTTTCTCAAGGTCGGCTAGTTCCAGAAGCAAAGTAAAAGGCTTTGCTTACGATGAAGGCGTGAGGCCCGAAGAGATCTTCACAATCTCCTTCGAGCGCTTGGATGTAAATACTTGAGTGCTCCGAGGGTGGAAGAAGAGACAAACCACTTGGGTTGACGCAGGTTGACTGGAACCATGTCCTTCCAGCTGCTATACAGTTTTGGGTCCCCTCGGTGCCTTCCCCTTTTGTAACTGCGATAAAGGTATTATCGTCGCCCAGGTTTTGGAAAAGACTATCCCGGACTTTACGGACCCCGTTAAGCCTTTGGAATTAGAGTTTTAACTGGTATGGGGTAACGCGACATTAGATTAAACCAAGGGCTGACGGTCTTTCGTCAGTTGGATGAACCAATTCCTTTTAAACTCGACTCGAGTACTTGGCTGCTGGATCCATCAACAAACTCGAATGACTATGCCACCCGTGCCATTAAGGCGAAGGAGCTGCTCATTATATGGAACACTCGCGACCCCGAGTCCTTATATGTTGTCTTGTGAACTGATACAGTTTGCAGCGGGCGTGAAGCGCAGGCTTCCGAGCACGGAGTACCCGGCGCAGAAGCAACCCAATTTCGAGGGAGGTATGTGTGACTAATTCTGCCGTTATAATTAGGCCGACACTGGATGGTTAGCCCATCGGGTCAACGGGGCCCCGGGCAGCCGCCCCCTCCTCCGCGTCAAGGGCGGTACAACGATTGCAAAACAACAAGAGAAACCCCCCCTTTGCAATGGCCGCCGCCCCCCGACAACTGTGGTTCTGACGTTCGGCTCTTCCACCCAGTGTTTGAGAACTTCAGTCGACGGTACCATGGCACTGAGAAGCTCGCGAACGAGAAAGCTGCGGTACACAATTTCCTGGTATGCTCCGCTGTTTACTACAACGGCAATAAAGCACGTCAGGATGCGGTCACGCCCTTTCTCAAAACTCTCCCAGGAGATCGCGGCCTTTTGGGCTTGAGAAATTCCGATGGGTCATCTGTGGACGGGGTCATCACCTATCCTTCTGCGCGAACCGGTACGCAAATACCTCCCCTCCTCTTCGAATTGAAGAATAAGATAAGCGGTGGGGACGCCGACACCACCCACAAAGTTGGATTACTGTATCGCAGGTATCGGTCGTACAAGAAGGTACCCTGGCTGTTTCTTGTGCCGGGCATTCGCTTACCGGCTCATCAGAAAGCTGGCCGTGCAAGCTGTTGCCCCACATCCCTATTGGCCTTCAAGGGGTCGTGGTTGTGCATCCTTGGCACGGTGTCCACGGACAAGCATATCATCCAGCCCCTGACTCCGTTGCTGTGGCTGAGTGATGTCCATGCATGTAAATCGCAGTACAGGGAGGTTACAAGGCTCCTCGCGGCGCTGTCAATGGGGATCTTGGAACTAGAAGAATTTTACATTTCGAGCTCGTCTTTGAAGCTCAAATTTTCCCTTACATCACCTCTTTCACCAACAAATGCACTAAAGCCAAGGCTCACTTCAGCTGCGGAGGATGGGCGGACTCAGATCCTCACGGCAACAAGGCGGTCTTCATGACCAACACTGAGGACAGTGAAAAGATTATTATCAAGTTCACAGAAGCGTGCAATGACATAGCTCACTCTCTACTCGCCGCTGGGGGTCTTGCGCCCGCTTCGCTCTTGCGATCGATTGGACTTTTCAGCGGTTGCCATGAACTAGGTTCGTACCAAACCCACGATTAGAGCTCACTCTTCTTGTCGAGGCAACCTCCGGCCGATCGAAGATTGACACGCGCCCTGCGCGAGGTGGATCCGGGCTTGTGTCGAGACTGGTCATGAACTACATCGATGGGAAGCAGTTGCTCCACAAGTATCCTTCCGTGACTCCCGATGAGGTCCTAAACAAGGTTTCCGAAGCCTTGGGGGTTTTGCATGCAAACAATCTCGTGTTCGGTTATCTGAGATCACCGAGCATCCTTGTTACAAATGTTCAACTGGTGGATTTCGAAAGGCAGGAGAAGGGGAGTATCTGGCGAGCATCGATCTCGTGGATACCGAATGACCGGGGGTGTTGTTCCCGGTGACCCCCTACAGTTCGAGCATGACAACGAGATGCTCCGGAGATTGTCATGGAGGAAGTAAAATGGTGTTTGTCGGCGTTTTACCAAAGTTTTGTAGACTACGGTTGCGAAATACGATCATCATTCTCTTGGAGTCCAAAATGCCTTTATTGCTTCCAGGGCGCTTATATCATGCGTGCCGGCTGAGGCGTGTCACAACGCTACCTCGAGTTTCAACGATGGATACAAATTCCCAGCAACAGAGAGAACGGGACGGTGCTCTCTCATCACTGAACGCAGCAATCGAGGCCACGAATGCTGCAGAGGAGAGGTCTGCCATCCCACCAGCTAAAGCTGCATTTCGCTCCGTCGGTGCCCTCCTTACAGCGATTAGGGTACATTTCCCCCCGTCCTGTGACGATAAGCTTCCGGTTCACGTACATCCAGGGCTCAGTCGTCAACGATCAGGATTACATCGAGCTTGGATTATCTTGCGCTGACATCTGTGAAGCCCTTGACCGGGGAACGAATGGAAGGAGGTTGGATGAGCTCAGTCAGTCCTTGGGCGAGGCGATACACCGCTTGGCAACGTGAGTCGAACCAGCGATATGCATCTCTATCCGTCCATTGAAGCGCTCCCGATTGCAGAACTGTTACAGAGATCAGAAAAAAGGTCATCGAACAGAGCAGACGAAATGGAGTCTCTCGACTTCTCCGTGCGAGGGACGATAAGAAAATGATTGCCACTTGGAAGTTAGATCTCAACAGGATCCTTCATGTCTTCAACGTGTGTTCAATCGCTTCCGCTTGCTCGTCAATAACGTCCGTTCCAGACTGAGTTGGCCGTGAACACCTATGTAACGGTTGCTGGCATCCGTCATGATGTGTCGAGAATTTGGGAGGAGATTGGCGATCAAGTTTACTCGGTGAGTACAAGTTGCATTGAATTTATCGATAAGAGGAGGATGCTTACAGTTGGTCAGGCTCAAACCAGGTCAGCTATTCGGGATGCCGTGGGGTCTACGGTCTTACTTTTACATAGCATCCCTCCTGGAGAATTGCCTCCCCCGCCACCGAGGGCCTGTTTCGGACGCGACGAGCTGATCGAGGAGATCGTCGTTCACGCAACAAACCTCACACCCATCGCTCTCATTGGTGCCGGCGGAGTTGGCAAGACTTCTATCGCCCTGGCTGTCCTCCACGACGACCGTATCAAGAAACGGTTTGGGTATAACCGTCGATTCGTCCGTTGCGACCAGTTCCCAGCTTCACGCGTTCATTTCCTCAGTCGACTTTCCACTGTCATCGGTGCAGGCATCGAAAACCCTGAGGACCTGGCTCCTCTACGCCCATTCCTATCTTCGAAAGAGATTCTCTTGGTCCTGGACAACGCAGAATCCATTCTCGACCCACATGGACCCAACGCCCAGGAGATCTATGGTGTGGTGGAGGAGCTGAGTCGCTTCGACAACATCTGTCTGTGCACCACTTCCCGTATCTCCACCATTCCTCCCGACTGCGGGACTATCGAAATCCCGGTATTGTCGATGGAGGCTGCACAGAGCACGTTCTATCGCATCTACAAGCACGGCGAACGGTCCGATCCGGTCAACAACATCCTTCAGCGACTCGACTTCCACCCGCTATCGATCACGTTGCTCGCTACAGTTGCACATCACAACAAGTGGGGCACCGACCGACTCACCATTGAATGGGAGGCACACCGCACACAGGTACTCCGGACAGATTACAATGGGAGCCTGGCCGCAACGATCGAACTTTCACTGGCTTCACCGACATTCCGCGAACTTGGCCCCGATGCCCGCGACTTGCTTGACGTCATTGCCTTCTTCCCTCAAGGCATCGACGATAACCTGGACTGGTTGTTTCCCACCATCTCCAATAAAAAGAACATCCTCGACAAATTCTGTGTTCTTTCTCTGACGTATCGAAACAACGGGTTCATCACGATGTTGGCGCCACTCCGAGACTACCTTTGCCCAAAGGGTCCGGAATTCTCCCCACTCCTCCACGCGACTAAGGAACATTATTTCTACAAGTTATCGGTTGATGTTGGTCCTAACGAGCCTGGGTTTGAAGAGGCGCGGTGGATCACATCGGAGGATGTCAACGTCGAGCACCTGCTGGACGTCTTCACATCTGTTGACGCAACCTCGGGTGATGTCTGGTTAGCTTGTGGTCATTTCATGGAGCACCTCTACTGGCACAAAGGTCGGCTGGTTGTATTAGGGCCAAAGATCGAAGGACTCCCGGATAACCATCCCTCCAAGCCATTGTGCTTGTTCGAGCTCTCACAATTGTTTGAGTCGGTTGGAAATCACGCGGAGAAAAAACGACTCCTTACCTACACTTTGAAGCTCTGGAGGGAGCGGGGGAATGATCATGAGGTTGCTGAAACATTGAGGTTCCTATCCGAAGTAAACCGGCAACTGGGCCTCTACAAGGAAGGGATATCACGGGCAAA